AGAGAAGGTAGTCGATGAACGGCCACGACCTACGACAGGGTTCACTGCACGACGATTTGTCGGGGCTCGCCAAACAAATTTGCTTTTCGAAGTTAGATTGGTTTTAATTGCGCCATTACTTGATACCGCGGTTTCTCGCCGCGTGCACGCTGACGCCCGTGCCAATGAACTGTCTGTCGGCGGTGCTATACGCGGCAGGCAGATTCCGGGTAACGAGGAATGCAAAATAAAGTACCCGGCGTCGACTACGACTTACGTAAACGCGAACGACGCTATCCCGAATGCGTTTATGCACCGTGCGTCGTGGACCGATCGGCCGCTTAATATGTACCATTATTGGATCCTCTTTGAGCTGCAGGGAGGGGAGGGAAATAATACGCGAATACAGCGTTTCGCACACGACCGTAACCGCGATTATTCGGAAGCAGCTTTCGAGTTTCCGCTAAAGAGCACAACGAATATCTTTGTTCATGCGAATCATGGCATTTCGTGTCAGTCCGATTTCATCCGGCAACGTGTGTCCTTCCCCAATGGTGTAATCACAATTTAACAGGTCCCGATTTCGCGTTTACCTTTCGACATTAAAATTTATCGTCTACTGATAAATCTTTATCGATTTCGGGGGACATTAGATTGCGTATACGAAACAGGTCGCTTTTTTATTCATTTTCATTGCCAACGCGAAAGGCACTTTCCTGTTTTTTTTTGCACATCGTGAACTTTGATTCCGCAGAAACGTCGACTTTAATACGGAAATCGGATTACGGGTTTCGATATCGTTGAGGGACCGTTGAATTTTCAAAATTTCAATCGCAATCCGTATCACGCGTAATCGTGAAGATCAATGGTCAACACTGTACTGTTGAAAAATATTAACCGTATGGCGCATAATACAACGGCTAACTGTCACTTTACGAGATTTTTACAATTCACAAACATCGAGCTCGATCGCTGTATATGCGATAAACACGGATCTATCCTGCGGCTAGATAACCGAATTTACCGCATCCTGCTTATTCCTCCGTTCTGACCTTAAAAAAGTTTCCTAGCGCCAAGTAAATAAACGGATGTTTGCAAAACAAATTTTCCTACAATAGACACTATATAAAAACAATGTCAACCAGTTTGCAACCTTCGAATTTGAATGTATCGAAGTGGAATATCCAAGTTGACTCTACAAAACTAGAAGAGTAACTTCGGAGTTTAACAAGAAAAAGGTATTCAACGCGTAGGGTTAATAGGTCATCGACAAGCGCACTGAAATTTGTACATTATCGAACGATCACGATCGTCAGTTAAATAAATTAATTTTGGAGCAAACTGTATGCCTCGCAGATCTCGCCGAAAGCAACACATCATTTTACGAACACGAGCCTAAATAATCGAAAGCGATCCGCCATCGCAGCAGCGAAGCCGCGAGACAACACCGAGGTCGGTTTCGCGATTCGAGGTTATGTTCGCGCTTACCTTGTCGGCCGACGATCTCCGCCACGTGCTCGCTGCTAGGCACCGGCACGCACTCGGTCATGTTCTGGCTCTTCTTAGAACGTGCCTCTTCGAAAACGCCTGCTGGCGTGGTTTGCAGAGGGTCCGGGTCGTTGGTGGTTCCGGTACCGGTTCCTGTGCCGGTGCCGGGGCATCCGGGAGTGCCCTCGAGGCCAAGCATAGACAATTCCAACGCCAATTGCAGTGCCCGCTGGTCCTCGAGGGAGGCGGCTGCACCACCGTTCGCTCCGCGATCCATTTCGCTGAACAAACTGGTCGGCATTATGCTCGATGAAAAGCTGTCGCGTTCTGTCGCGCGCCGGTCGATGTCAATGGTAACGCAATGCGCTCGCACAGATTATAATCACAGTGTCTAGTAAATTCACCGGTTTCCTCACTGTTTGATACTCTGGTCTGTAGTCCGTTGATCACGGCTGATTTCACACCCCGTATCGATTTTATTATTAATACGATGATGACGACGAGGATGATTATTATTGTTATTCGAAATCGACTGGTACGTTCGCTCGAGGTTTTATGCTCGATCGAAATGCACGTGGCAATGCAGAGGTGTTTCACGCGATACAAAGTCTTCGCTTTCGAAACGATCCGGGAAACAATTGTAATACACACACGCGGCCGCACGCCCTGGTGTACACACCACACATACACGATTTTATTTAAGACGAAGGACTAGAGCAGCGGCCGGGTTAATCCACGCGGCCCCGGCTTTACGATGCTGAAATTGCGTACGTAGGAAAGGAGTAAAAGAAAAAAGAAACCCAAACGATGCACCGTACAAAAATAAAATCGTCGACTCCGCTGCCGGTGATCGTTCTTATCTGTCGTGCTCGTTTTTCGTCCAGGTCCCTCTCCTCCACTCTGTTGACCGCGCGTACGAATGCTCGGCCGCACGGCGTGAGTGTTACTCGCACACTGGAAACGTGTGGGCTACTCCGCTCGTAATCTCTCGTGTCTCGTCCAACGGATCGCACGTCCTTCTTTACCGTCGATCAGTCTCTCACTCGCGCGCGCTTTCTTTCACCGCGTGGTAATGCCAGCGACGAAAATGGCCTTCCTTCGATATTCGCACTGGTCGGAGCAGTTCGTAAGTGATATTCGTGTTTCAAGAGCGCGCGACTAGCCAAGCGTCAACGTCTTCGTCGCCTGCCTGATACTCGTGTTTTCCTTTTTTCGTGCGTGTCTTCTGTGTGTTGACCGATATATATATATATGTATATGTATACATGTATACGTGTATATGTATATATGTATATATATATAAATATCTATATATGTATGTGTATATATATGTATGTATATATATATATATATTTATATATATAAGAATTTCGTTCGTTCGTCCTTCCTTCTTGTTTCGCTCTGTCTCTCTTTTTCTCTCACTCTCCCTCGCTCGTTCTCCCTGGTTCTCGTTCTCGCCTTCAACGGGGACGACGTAACCTAACGTAACGTAACGGCGCGTGTATCACGTTGTGGGAGCCTCGTCACCGACCGACTGACTAAAGCGTCCGAGAGCGTCGTCGCGCGACTGAAACACTGAAAACGGAGGCAAGGGGCGCCGCGCTCTCTCTTTCGTTTCCCTTCTTTCTCTCTTCGCCTCACGTCTTCTTTCTCTTTCTTCCTTCCTTTCTCGATCTCTCACTTGTCTGTTTCTCCCTCGCCGCGATCTTTCCTTTCGAAGGCAGGCGCGTGCAACTACCCTCTCGCTCGTGTTACCACTGCGACTGACTGCGACGTACTGCGACTGCGGGTGCTACAGCCGGCGCGCCGCCATGTGCCGGACGCCGGCTATGCGTCGCACCGATTGGCCGGCTGGGTCACGTGGCACCGTACCACCCCTCCCCACCACTCACGGCCAACCGGCGTTACGAAGTACGAGCGCACCTACCGGCCGAGAGGCGACGTGTTCCGTTCGCCTCTGGATACGGGCGCGTGCACTCTCGTCCCTACCGGCTTGCAACCCCCTCCGTATTACCGCTCGCGCTTTCGAGCCTTCGCGAAGTTTCCCTATAGATCCGCGGGCTGAAACGCCAGCCTGCACCACCGATTTTCCACGGCGGTGATTACGAGCCCGGGACCTAGCCCTGGGATCGTAGCTCCATCTACCCGCGACGAGGCGAGATACTTGCAATGAGGGTTGTTATTTCATCCTGTCAGTGTCACTTTGTTTAACACGTTGAGTGCCGCGGTTTAAGTTCGCGTGATTTTCTATTTACGTGTACCGCCCTGTCCCGCGTTGTGGTATTTATTATACTCACGTCTTGCAATTACGTGTCTGTAGGAGATTTACGACTGCAAAAATAATTAGCGAGGATAAGGGGTAACGCACGGTACACGCGCTACTTAAGAAAACATACATTTCGAGAAATGTACGATTAAAATGATGCGCGATGTTTAGTATTGAAGATAATTTTCTCACACTGCTCTAAACCTTGTTAAGTGAATTATTCACCATCGTTGGGTGTTACTTCAATGCTGTCTTAATTGGAATATCATCGTGCAGTTGATTTTAATGAAAATTGTCCGCATTTTTTCAAAAGTAAACGCGAGGTCTGTTCCCTCCTTTCGTCGACCTTATATTTATTTCTAGATGTTTGCAAATGTTTGTAAAATTTACATTTCAATACCAGCTTTGATAAGTACAATCGATGCGCGCGCGCGTGTATACGTGCGGCGCGAGTTGTGCGCCCATGTACTTGTATCTTGCTCTACGATTCGATTTATCCCTGGTCGCTCGTTTTACGTGACTTCCAGTGACGACACTGCGTTTCCCATGAACGCTCGCTGCAAGCATCGGTGTCGTTCACTGCGAACCTCGCGATGCAACACCCTTTTCTCGCCGCGGACCCGTCAACGACCTTCACGATGCATATAGGGTGCCTAGCAAACGCGCTTCGCCGGGTACTTTTTCGAGGTGCGTGCAGTCATTGCGGCAACATCCGCGGTGCAAGGGAAATGCAACAGGAAGGAAATTTACGACTCCCGAGAAATAATAGCAAGGCATCGTTCGAGTCGTAAACCGTAGTTGGATCGTTTGAGACTCTATCACGCCGTAAATTAGACACGACGTCAAGAGTATTTCAAAGGAAATCTCGACTGGTCCGCGGTATTGATAAAGGAGTAGTATTCTTCGTCGAGGACTGCACGGATTTTGTACGGTCTAATTATGCTCCGCTTCTCACGATAACAGTTTACGATTTATTTTT